AAGGATCAATAGTAAGGAGCTCAAAACAGTCGTTAATAACCTTGAGTTTTCGTTTAAACTCGTAGTTAGTCATTTGCTGTTCAATGAGTAACTTAACCATAGTATTTATAAATGAATAGTTTGTTTATGGGTGCATATATTTTCACATGCTCATTCAGATGGCGAGCAGTTCTTTCTCATTTAATCTGTTTAGTAGGAATTTAAGTCACCATCAAGTGATCATACTATCAAGTAGACCACATTAATCATTTCAGTATTTTACCAAACTGATTGCATCATCGTAAAGTGTTGATGATTGGAGCGAAATAACATTATCCAAATACAAAATTGCAAGTTTATAAAAGGTAGTTAAAATGAACTCTCTGACTGTGTACGTCGCAATGAGTAAAATATTCATTACCTTGAATCACACTGTTTTACTTCGAGCAATATAGTTAATAAAATAAGTTTAGAAAACAAACCCATAAGTAATCTTGATGCACTAAAATGAAAAATTATTTCTTATTATGTTGATGAGAATATTTCTAACTAAACATCGGATCTAAGAACTGTGCTTCAGTGGTCATATATGATAATGTAAAGTGAATCCTGATTAAAACATCAGGTGGTTCGAAAATTCTTTAATAAATACTCGATTACTTACTGAGTCAAACAGTTAATTTGTGATAATCATGCAGATATAGTTCTGGTTCTTAAGTTTGATATAAAGACAAATATATTGTTGATCTATTTATTGCATAGAAATACATTTAATTTCATTTGTTTGCAATATAAAAATAGAATTTGTTTATCCTTATGTATTTAACCGAAGACTATAATGTCAGTTTAACTAGGAGAATGTAATCAAGAGAGGCAATATAATGGTACCATTTGATCACAGCATGCTACCGATATTTTCCGAAATGTTTTCATTAAACGCTTTTGTTCGATATAATCCTCACGTAACTTATTGAGGACATATAGCATTCAATACTATTGTCATCTCGATTAATAGAATATATTAAGTCTTGTAAAATAATGACTTAGTTATATATCATATGAACATGAGCTTAGATAGAAAATTAACATTTGATTACATGGTCGATTACTCGAGGTTACTTTATTGATTTGCCACAAAGTAATACACTCGTTTTTTGACTAATTTCATCACATCAATGGCATACATTTCTTGAGGTATTTTATTTCTGGAAATGTAAAATCTAAATCACCCTGCTGTACTATACGATCGTCTGGGGATGATACTAATACGCAAACTTTCTAAACGCGAACTCGAACCAACTGTTTAAGTGGGAAAATTGAGAATGAGCAGGACACTTTATTAAGGAAAACCCAATTAAGTATTTATATACACTCGTTCATAAATGCTATTTTCCTACAGAAAATATGGCCTAATTTTCAACCAATAGCGTATATCTCTTTTTTTAGAAAGTGATTATTCTTCACCAATAGTGTTCACTTATATTTGGACGACACAGCGTATTATGTTCTCATAGACCTAGAGAGGATATACAGAGAGTGAATTCAATTCTTAAAATATCACTGTTCAAAGAGTGTTTATATTCATTGCTAGAGTTAACTATTACCATTTTTAGATAACATTTTTTGTAAATGAAAGATTCATTTTTATCTTAGGGCTATAGAGTCTATCTTAATTGTTATATAGTTTAAAACTTTATAAAACAATTTATTCCTCCTTACTATTCTTGGCGTTAGAACAATAAGCAAAATTTAAAAATAGCAAAGAGAGTTAATAAACTTTCATATACTCGTATCACTTGATAAAATACTGAAGAAGCCTTTGCAATGCTTACGAGAATACTGTTATGGACCTGTAACTTTTATGAATTAACGAATTAATATCCGGATTAGTCTGACTAAGCATGATAAAACTTCACGAAGTTTTGACGACTTACCTTGACACTTATGTTCAACGTGTTTCTAAATAGTATTATGCATTATCGTTGTGTGGTGTAACATAATAACATCAAACAATAACGAATTTTAATTGAATGCAACTTTTAATCTGAAGTGAAATTGAATAAGAAGTCATTAGAAACCATGGAGCACGTTTTAAGATACCTAGATAACACACATTCATTGTACTACAACTAATGTAATCTAAGGCCTTCATTTTATATGAAGGGCACTTTTATTTCAACCTGTGATACTGACCTATTATGACTTTGTTTAGTCTGTCTACTAGTCTGTGCCTAGTAATCAGAGAGGGTTGTCTTGATCTAGCTTACGGAATTTAAATCATAGGTTTCTCAGTAAAACTTTGAGACGTAACACGAAAGTTCGACTTATGACTGAACAGTGTTGAGGGCATATTGACGAAAAGTATCGTGCCACTGACCTGTGAACTGATACGTTGGGAAGTGGAGAGACAGAAAACAATCTATTCGGCACAGAGAATCTGGTTTACTCCTGATTTAACTAACTTAAAATAGGTACATGGATAAATATACGACTGATAAAACTACAACGCACACGGAATGAGAAGGATATAATTTTATCCAAGACAAGGCAGAAAAATATGGAATACAAGGATCACGTCTTATTAACGGCAATTTTGGAATAAAATAGAATACGACAGTAATTTATCCATCAAATAGAAACTTATGAACAATAGAATAAAACAGGCACTGATCTAAATGTTAGCAATTTACAGATTTCTAATTGAATCAAATAATGTTTAAAAAAATAGCTCTTCTTTTTTGTTGTTACTTTTTAATTTCTCTTTGCACATTGACAAAAACATCCGAATTTTGTAAAATAAACCCGAGAATTGCAAACTGTAACAAAATAAAAAACACTCACATATCCTTTAGCGATTAATGTGAAGAGCTCAAAATCGTAAACGGTGATTCATATCCTTTCATATTTTTATTTTTTTAAAATCATAGTAACAATATTATTTCCGATTTTCTATCCCATCATTTTACTTGACTCCTTCAAAAATGGATGAACTGTTATAATAAATGCAGATACCATTATGCGATTCCTTCACTTCCTTACTATGCTGAAATAAAGCATAACTGTTTGAGTTGTTATATATTTATATCAGGTCGAAAGTTACTTGTGTCAGTCTTTTAATGGTAGAGTCCGCCAAAATTTTAGTTTGTGTTTAATGTTGTTAATAATTTGATTTCTTCAGTCATAGTTAGCTTAATTAATCTTGTATCAGTTATAAATAGAATTACTCTGAGAATGGTTTTCATCATGGGTCAATAAGTGCTGAATAGTTAATCTATATAGAATAGATAATGGTGACTATAAGATAGTAATTTGTTCACTGAGATACCTATAATTCTTTGATTCAATATTTGCTTTCTTTTTTGTACCCATTGGCTGGAGGTCTTAATCAGTTTCTTATGGAAAGGATTTCAAAATTGTAAAGTAATCTTCAGAATTTACCGAAGTGAACGATAAATTTTACTCATGTTACATATGAACTGAGACTTTGTTCATAGTTGAGTGTTAATGTTTCCGGTAATTAATCACTAATTAAAATATCAATCATTTTAGACAGTTATTTTTTGTTTCTGGGTAATTTAAGATATTTTAGTGTTACATTTTTAATGTTTTAATGTCCATTACCTGAAGGTAATATAGTGCTGTATATATCTTGAATGTTCTATACAATCATTTTATTATAATAGAATTAAACCTAACTTATAGCATTCTTTTTATATTTTATAAGACAGATTTAGAGGAATAAAAGTTGTCATTGATAAAACTTGCTAAATACTCCATACTTTCACAATTGATTGATCACTGGGTGATGATCAATGTCATGCTTGTCTAGTCCTTATTAGTGCAGATCGAATGCTATCGATCATGTTGCAATGTGGCCACCAGTCTAGGTGACTTGACACTGCGGGCACTATGTATTGACATTTTAGATGGTAGTTGGAGGTAGTCAACAGGAAACCCTGGACCCGGGTTTCGTGCTACTTGGCACTCGTCAGCAAGGTGTACCTGTAATCTTGAAGGAACTGGTGCTTCCTGGCGGATTCGATCTCGTGTCACACAGCTTCACAGTCAGAGGCGTTACCACTGAGCAACATGATCGATAGCATTCGATCTGTACTAATAAGGACTAGACAAGCATGACATTGATCACCACCCAGTGATCAATCAATTGTGATTACATCTCAGTTCTACAGGAGGTAAGTTACGGCTCGGATAGCTCAGTGGTAACGTCTCTGACTGTGAAGCTGGGTGACACGAGATCGAATCCGCCAGGGAGCACCAGTTCCCTCAAGATTACAGGTACACCTTGCTGACGAGTGCCAAGTAGCACGAAACCCGGGTCCAGGGTTTCCTGTTGACTACCTTCAACTACCATCTAAAATCTCACTCCATACTTTCATTATTTTAAGATATGCATTTCTTCAAACTTCTAAAATTGGTAATCATAATACAAATTATAAATTATTTTAATAAGCATTTTACAAGAGAAATAAAAACTTAAATCAACTTACTATTGTGGTGTGTGCTATTTATGCCGACATAAGTAGTATATAACGCTAGTCAGGAATAGAATATCTGGCAGCAGAAAGTTGAGAAGATCGAGGAGAAAAGAACGGAACAGAAAGCAATTGGTATGGAAATGTAGGAACAAAGAAGTTTGAGACAATTAATGAACATTTTACAAGTAGATTGTTGGAGTATGGTTTTTCTATTTTATCAGGTAACTCTGCAATAGGTCCTCAGTTAGTTTAGACTTTGGATACATGGTTAATTTAATTGAAAAATAATGACATTTCTTTGAACTGCAATTTAGTCATTGTCGTTTCATAGCTTTTCATCATCTTCGTGAATATAGTATAACTTTATTTAGATACTTAGCGTATACATCTACATTAATTATCCGTTAACATTTAAAAGGACCTTGACAAATCAACCAATCGGTGGTTAGTTGTAGATATAGTTACAGTGCATTTTATTTATTTATATCGTTACATATGGAAAGAAATTAATTACCCAACTAAAAAATGTTGAAATCGGTTGCAAGTAAGTCACTAGTTTATGGGTTTTTTATTTACTGGATAAAATGTTTAAGTATATCATAGAAGAGTTCGGTCTTCAATATTAAATTAGGACTATTACATATTTGAGAATGTTAATTCTTTCTATGAATGACAGACAAAGGAATTTATTCTTAAATAACTAGTGAAACTTCAGTAGATCTTATATTTTAAACCTAAATAATAAAAAATTTTTGGTACTTTTAAAATTTCGTTAATAATTGTATATAAAGTTAGTGTTTTCATTTATTGTATTGCTTTTTAAACAACACATTACTGTGACAAGTTATGGTTCAGTATGTTCTCTTTCATGGTATACACGATCACCCAGTTGATAATATCGATAGTCCTATACGAGGAAAAATGGGTACATATCTACAAATGAAAGCAATAAAGTCAATATTTTATTGATTCGATTGTAGGTTTTCTTATTTTAAGTAGTATTGTGGCATGTGCTACTGATGTCGATAGATATAAGTAGTATGTATCGTCAATCGAAAGTGAAATGTAGGGAGGCAGAAGGTTAAGTAGATCAAAGAAAAGAGAGGGAGAACAGGGAGTGATTAATGTGGGAGCGAAGAAACAATGAAGTCTGAGACGATTGATTGACATTTTGCAAATGAAATATTTACTGTATAGTTCTTAAATTTCACTGAGATGTTCTGTGATTTTGTATTTAAATACATTCCATTGTCCTCCATTGTGTTCCCGTTCATTACGGTATATCAAACAGTAGTAATAGTTGATGAATAAAAAAATCTGTAATAAAATAATTAGCTGTTATTAAAATCCCTTAAGTATATCTAGTTATAATTTATAATTTTCTCCGTTAAATATATTCACGATTACTTAATTGTTCATTTTAGTACAAACCGTAAAATATCAAGGGTTAAATTCTCGTATCAAAATTGACTATTAATGTAAATCTATTCTGTCCATAATGATTTATCTACAGTCAATAAATTATAAACATATCCTATCATTTCACTTGATTCCTTCAAAAATAGATGAGCTGTTATAATAAATGCAGATACCATTATCCAATTCTTTCATTTCCTTACTATGCTGAAATAAAGCATAACTGTTTGAGTCAATGAATACCGTTCTGTGTCAGAAAGTTTAACATAATTTTCACTTAAAATGATGTATAAAAAGTAATATTTTAATAACACCCTGAATTATCTAAAATTTTGGATTTGAAAAATCTGCTATAAACTGCTGAGCATCATCTTCCTAATATTTTCACAACCAAGATGATTTTATAACAATATTGAGAATAATTCATAAGGTGCGCAACGCTTTTTATTTAAGAAATAAAAGAAAGAATTTAAACAATTAGTTCCTTGAAAACAATGAATTCCAGGCTTAATTAATTTAAAAAGAGAACTGTTAAGGTTGATTAGAAGTGTAGACTAATGGAAATCTCTTTAAAGTACTTTGTGCTTATATAATACTTAATACATTTCATATGTATGAACGATGAAAGAATATTTTGTGATTTATCAATCGTTTATCAAATTAATTCTTATTCTACTTCATAATCATTGGTCGTCTTTACGTATCGTGTTTTGTAGCCCCTTATTATCCTATTCAGGATAATGAAAAACCAAAGCTTTTATATACATCTGCTAATTTCTTGGGTATACCCACTAACAGGGGACAACCAAAAATTGGTACATATCAAGGACCAGAACTTATCCGAAAATCTAATTTTTTCCAGCTTGTAGCTGAAGATGGTAAGACAATACATTGTATTGGTTTTGCGAGGCACACATTTTACTCAGAGATGGATGATGGCTAGCAATGAAATCCAGGACGCACGCATTTGTCTGTCCAATATTTCGAAGTTACTAACTTAAATATTAGTTATTTTATCATCACTACTACTCATGTATTTACTATAAACTAAACTTTCTGGTATCAGTTTGGTCAGGTACTTTAATATTTAAAACCACCGGTCATAAAAATTGAATGACTATTGTGGTTTGAAGCTCGTGTTATAAACAATACATAAGTGTGAAATTTATCAATACAGATCATTTTTATTCTGTTCAAATGTCATGTTTTCTAGGGACTTTAAAAATGGGTAGATATGCTTATGAATACTATGAGACTATTGATGGTGTAAGGCATCAGGCGTTTTGAACATTTTATAATCAAACACATGGCTTGATTAAACCAAATTAAATGGTTATATACGAAATAATTTAATAATGAAGACATTTTATCTCCACATTCACGAAATCACTGACTGTGTCACGTAGACTGAACATTGAGACATATAATTGAAGTTTTCCTTTTTGTAATCTGTCATTCTGAGCTTTATATTTTAAAGATATTTATCTTGTTTATCTTGCTAGTATCATATTAGTGGTTATTATCAGAAAAGTGAAATAGCTTTCTCTATTCACCAATACTGAAGGATACGTATAATTTATGTCATGGTTATTAGAAGTTACGATTAAATAATTCCTGAATCTTAAGAAACAAGTGAGAAGTCGTAAGGAAATTCAATGAAACAATATTATTTTCAAGGAATTGCGTTCAATTTAACATTGAAATACTTCTCCGCGACATCATACGAATCATGAATATGTATAATGTATTTTGTACACGAAACATTGTGTAACTAATTCAGCATGGCTGAATAGATCTCTAAAAACAATTTATTAATCTGTTCTATCAAAGTGGTGTAGTAAGTACGTTACTTGTCTCATGTAACGTGTTATGTTATGTTGCTAAAAAAACAAAGTGACCCACTAGTGATAGTTATTTCAAATACAATAATTAACAGTAAATTTGATTTTTTCAAAACTCGAACTCTAGGAATACAGTTAATTGACTGTGGAGATGTTACACCTGTAGAACTAAGTGAAACAGAGGATCCACAACGTTTTGGAATGAAATGGTCACGGAGTTTCTCAATGACCACTTTAAAAATAGCCGAACGTGTGGAGGGATTAATGAAACAGTCAACTAAACATAATACTGAATCAAATGAATCAAAATCAACTCCTTTAGTAATTGTTGGTGGTGATCATAGTATGGCGACTGGAACCATACTTGGACATGCTAAAGCTAAACCAGATCTGTGTGTGTTATGGATTGATGCTCATGGTGACATAAATACACCACTGAATTCAGCTTCTGGAAATATACATGGAATGCCTTTAAGTTTTCTAGTAAAAGAATTACAAGACCAAATACCGTGGTTGGACGACTTTGAAGGCATAAAACCTTGGTAAGTTTTTCGTATATATATATATATATATATATATATATATATATATATATATATATATATATGTTCTGCCTTATAAATATTTTATCCTTCAGTTGTAAAATCTTAAGCTATTTGTATTTTTTTCATTTTTTTCATATAGTTAACAATAAAGTTAGAGTGTTAGGATGAAATCTAAATGCATACTATCCTACTAGTACCTAACACCAAACAATATCCATAGGAACTACATATCACTCAGATTGTAATGTAATCTATGAAATTAGACATATTATTAAAGAGCTTTACCATCACAGTATGATATTACTTAGTAGTGTAAACCAATGAACTTAAGCTTAATTGAATCGAGGACCTTTAAACCTTACCGAAATTTATTGGTTTACATTTTGAGCTACAATTATTTCGTAACATTAATTCATAATCACTCAAACACATTGACGATATCTGTCTTACACTTGGACAAAAAGCTTCTTTTTTTTTCAATGTATTTTCAAATTAGCAATGTCAATCTATACATGTAAATGCCCGACTATATCATGACAGTTTCAAAAATGTTTAACTTAGACCTTTCTTCTGTTTTCTCATCACAACTGACTTATTATTATTAATGATGTAAAAAATAAATAAATAGAGAAATACATGAATATTAAATTCATCACTTCAATGATCTCTATGAATGTGACTTCTTGTAATGATATGAAGGTAATTCACCTTAGAATAAATAGATAAATATTTGTTGTTCTTCTTTTCTCTCATCAGCAAAAGTCACATGAATCAATAAAATGTATATGAGATTAGGTTGTTGTTTGTTCATTTGTTTGTTTTTATTACCAAAATTACATAATTCACAATGTCAAAACTTATATCAATGAAATTATCTTATGATTACTTATCAGATGACAATTACATTATTCTATATTGATTTGATTATTTCTGTAATATTAGTCTTTATATATATATATATTATATATATGAAAATTACCTTATAACTTCCTTAATAAATCGTCCAATATTCAAGGACAAGTTAGTGATGTGTTAAATGTGACCATATTGAAGTTAGATTATTTTATTTATTGTTTATTACATAATAATGAATAACAATTACTACCATGGTGACAACAATAATAATGATAATGAAATTGTGAAATGTTTCTATAGAGAATAATTCATTAATTTATAATTTTACCATATATATACATTCATTGAATTAATAGATTGACTAAATTAATTAAATAATAAGATTGTTTTGTTTTTTTCAAAAAATAAAACTGATAAAGAGACTAATTTCAATATCGTATAGTAAAGATGTTAAAATTATTCGGCTAATTCAAATGCTTTATAATACAAAATAATATTTAAGTATATCATGTATTGAGATATTTAACAAGATTTTGTAAATAATTTGCACAGGGAAATCTAAGACTCTAATTCAACTACATATTACATAACAGTGAATAAAGTTGATGAGTTTATTTTGTTTTAAATATTACTTACTTACTTACTTACGCCTGTTACTCTTAATAGAGCATAGGCCGCCAACCAGCATTCTGTTTTAAATATATCATAATCTTAATCAAGTTGAACTTTAGTTTTATGTAATATTTTACAGAAACATTTATAGTTCTTAGCTTATTATTCTGACGAATTATTTTCACTTAAAAGACTTAATTGCTATTTGTATTTATGGTTCAATCATATAAAGTGAAGAGTAGAAATCTTTTAGTTTTATTCATTGAAATGACTGCCAGGGAAGTTCTTCTCACTGCCTTCTAGCGGCATTACTTTTGTTTATGAAATTGAGAGAAAGAAAATCGAGTGTCTGGTGATTTAACAGAATCCACTTAGGGGAATTTGAGAAACCTGATTTCAAACCAATGGTGCACATAGATTCCAGTATCCTGTTGGAAGAAATGGCGTATGGACCTATTGTTGGGAGTCGGCTATAATGGGACTGCATCTCCTGACGTTGCTTCACTGTCTTGTGGATTAAATCTTCAGCTCGAAGGCTCCGGATGTGGCTCCCTAAGAAAACCACCTGCTTCGGTTTAAGCACCCTTGCAGTATCACAGCCTACACACAAATCAAGCAACTTGTGTGTTGCATATATATTCGGTACTCTTTTATGCCAATATTAATGCGTTCAAACAAAACAATAATATTGATAAAATTAAATTTTGAATGAACGAATTACAAATGTACGTTAAACAAGGATTTTTACATACTATTTTTGTATGCTTATAAAAAGAGTGAAACTCTAATTTGAAGATAATTTTCTCAACAACATTCAGATTTACATCTTACATGATTATGACTATGTTTAAGAATTTACTATCCAAACAGTCATCATTTATAACGTATTTACTGAACCACCAGCAAATGTATCCATGCAGTTAGTTATTCATTTATATAGGTTTGAACGATTACAAACTCTGAAAATCTTGATGATAAAAAACACTTTATGTTACTAATGTCTTTGTAGGAATTACATTCTTCGCCCATGTTTATTAATTCATGAAGGTGAAGTAAAAATTATATGTACTAACAAATTAAGAGTATATGTTCATTAACTGAAACTTTTTTCAAAGAAGATAAGTACACATTTAAATGATCAGATTTTTTTAAAAGGTATACGGATATTGCCGGTGGATCAATATCATTACATAAGTAAAATGAAATACTAATTGTTTAGTATTAAAATATTCTTGAACCACATGTTAAAACAACAAATTCTGAACTAATTAAAGATTGAACTACTTATTATGAAAATGTTATTTATACAGTGTGAAAATTATTTCATTCGTATTAATTAATCATTAGTAATAAAATCAAAATGTTTCAAATTCATTGTCCTGTGAATTTATTTCTATTAGTATTTGGCAATCTACTTATATTATTTGATTTTCTGATTTTATTAAGAATGATAAAATGATCTTATTCAACAAATTTTGTCAATAATGAGAAATATTGAAAAGAGCAAGAACAAAGATTCTAGCAGAATTGTATGAATCCATTCTATTCCGGTGGTTCTCATCAGCTGCTAACAACCTGTGATATTTAGTAAAACATATTCACAAAAATGGGTTTAAATTACTTACATGAAAGGGTTTGTTTGGAAGTTATGTTGAAGACATATTAGTACAGTATAACAATGATGTAAATAAATTTACTAGACTGAAAATTGTAAATATATACCTTATGTGAAAGAACATCCTAAAACATTATGACAATAGTTTAAACGGCCAGACATAAGTGATTGTATAATGAGTAAAGGTTGATAGTAATAAAATGAATAGATTAGTGAATGATTAGTAAGCAGCCAAACTTCAGTCTACTGAAGTTCACTGAAGCCGTTGCTATCAGACGCGAAAAACCTGACTTATGTGTTAAAAAGGAGATGGTTATTGATTTTTCCTTGCCTTAGTGACAAACGTTCTTTCGTTGCATCTCAAGCTTTTTTAAATTCTTTCTTGCATTTATTATATCATTGAGTTTTATTTCAACTATTTTCCAAATCAGTAATCTTATTTAATCAACTGAACTCTACACATTTTGCTCCTATCAACATTTACTCACTATGTAATCACTTGTTTCTGGCCATTTGAACTATTGTTACAATGAATGTTGTGTAATATTCTTTTACATCAGGTATATATTTACAATTTTCAGTCTAGAAAGTTTATTTACACCTTTATTATACTATACTATTCTGCTAGAATCTTTGTTCTTGTACTTTTCAACATTATTAAGGGAACTATGTGTATAAAATTAGGCTTTTGAATATATGATGGTGATTGTACATATTTAATTATTTAAATTAATTATCTAAGCGTGGAAATTTGTTAATTCAGTGGTATTAATTTAAATGGTAATTGACAGGTTTACTGAAACATTTTATCTTTTATGAAAAACATAAATCCAGAACATATAATTCTTGTCTTTTTGGGTATTTAATAAAAACGTCTATTGTACTAAACACAAATTAATGGCGTCTTATATTAGGTATCAATGCATATATATAAAGAGGAGTGAACAAATGAACAAATATTTAAGAAATTCGACCAAGAATCTCTCAGTCAAGGTATTGCAACTAGGGCCTATGGCGGAGTTATTTAGAGAAGAGAATTGGTATTATTCTTTTCAACAACAGCGAAAGCTCTCCTTTGTATTCAATAAAGTAGAACATTACTCGCACCAACCTTGTTCATGCCACATATTTTAGAAATGAAATGAGTTAGTGAATATTCTGTTTAGGGTTGTGGAGGTTGCTAAATTTCGTTGAAATCATGAACCGACCAATGTTAGACTATTATTGAAAACCTAGAAGCACTGGATGGTTGTTTCGTTCTGGTATGGGACATGTCAGCAGTGCCCATCCGTGATCCCGCACGCGAAATGCAAACCCAGGACCTTCGGTCTCGAGTGAACGTTTAACCTCTAGACCACTGAGCTAGCATCCATGCATACTGTCTTGTTGAAGTTTTCTTCTAAGGAAAAGTATGTTATATTGTACAATAAAACAAACAGTAATTCTTACATAACCTTAAAACATTTAAAATAATTTTTATTAGGTATTCAGTTTTTCATAACAATATACAATCAAATGTTTAGATGACAATTTTCAGCATAAAAACTAATGACAATTAAACAACTAGTGTGAACCAAGTAGTATTAAGCAAGGGTTTTGTACTTATTCGAAATTCCTCACTAATGAACACCAATTATGTATTCCACACTGTACTTTCATATTTTATCCAGAATTAGATAACTTTATTTTACTATGTTAAAAGTTATTAGTCGGTATTTTCAACGTTAATCAATTTGTGACAGTGTCGTAACATGTTTTGTCTGTTTTAAATTGGTGTATACTTAACATTTACTTGGAATTCTTTGTTTCTCATTTCTCATTTTACAGTCTCAATGCCAGTAATATTGCCTATATTGGTTTGCGGGATTTAGATGCTTATGAAACGTAAGTAAGCCACCACAAGAGCAAAGCATTAAAAAGAAGTAATTATCTTTTTTGTAAGCTAGTATGAGAAACATTTGTACATAAACACGCTATTAGGTTGTGCATAAACTTGGACTCAATTTAAGTATATATATATATATATATATATAATGCAGTCACTATCAGTTACTGAGAATTTATAGATTTGTTGATTAATTTGTGCTGATATCTGGGGCCATTTATAGAAAACCTGAAATCATCTTCCATCTCTTACTCTCAAATGCCATATCACAAACCTAAAGAGAAGCAGATAGCAGACTGCTGTGTTATTAAATCTTTATTTTAGAAAAAATACAGTTGTCTCTGGTATCTAGTGTTGTTCAAACTGTTGAATGTTCAATACATCATATATATCTTTATTGGTACAACTTCCTTATTCTGCTCATTTGAATTTCTGTAGCTATTTTAAATAAATGAACTGGTTTTTACAATCCCACTCCCACTCACTCTTTAGTTGTAAACTGTATGATAGTGAGATTAAATACCACAGTATATTTTGAATTCGTCAAGTTTAAACAGCACTAATAAGCATTCTCAAATGTTTGCTCAAATTATTTGAAAGACCTTGTCTTTTTATTTTTTAAGGCTCTTATGACTATTTTGTAAACGATCACTAGCTCTATTAAGATTTCGGCGAGATCCTAATTAATGAAAGAACCAATAACGTTTAAGATGTCGTATCTTGAATATTGGTTCAAAATGCATTTATTTATATGACTAAATAGTATTTTCGCATCATAGATGATGTCGGTTCGTTATGAAAACCCTAACTCTAATTCCGAACCCTATCTCCTGACCCTAAGTTCCGATTTCGATTTTTTGCACCAATTTATAACCCTCTTTTGACACTGGTAAGTAGGCGGTTCTTATCAAGGTCACTTCGGCGACGCTCAGAGGTCGTCCATAAATTACAGTCTCATAAAACTTCCTCATGTAAAGAATACATTATCAACCAAGTGAAAAGAATCTATCTTCAACATTTGAAGCGAGAAGTTGACGCTGAATAGCATAATCGTAACTTCAAATAAAAATTTGCTGTAAGCTATTATACGAGTCAACTAGTTTAACAAAAATGTATAAAGTAGGACAATATGTTTTCCTAATAATCCTTTAACTCCAGATACTGCTATATACCATTTCAATAGGATGGGTCAAGGTTCACCATTAAGTTAATGAAAATGATCAATGTAGTGTACTGGTAATTATTCTTTCAGATGAAAAGCAATACGTTCGTTAAACAATTACTTATCCGAACCTAAAAAATGATTACATTTCACATGTATCCAGTGCTGCTTAGACAACAACTGAATATGGATCCTAGAAATTGACGATCAAGAAGTTAGTTTTTAAGCAAAATTGCTAAGCTGTGTGATTCACCCTTTTAAGAAATTGAAAGTATATTGAAAATGTGAACGAACAAAATGACTTACATTTAACTCTATTTACACTTAATTTTATAAGCATTTATTTTTGACTTGGTTACAGTTCTTATTTATATAGTCACATTTTTGGTATTTTTATAGATTATTAATTTCGTAACGATAAATCCAACATACTTATGTTATTGACTAAATTGTTAGTTCAAGAGTTTTAGGGATAATCTACCATTATATGTTAAAAGAATTCATACAAAACGTTTCTTGAATAAGCTAATGATCAATACAAATCTATACTGGGAAATTGATTTTCTTATGAAGGATATACTGATGAAGTGGTTGCAAATACTTTTAGTTTATCAGTATCGAGTCGTGGAGATCGTTGAGGTTAGATTGATATAATGAATGGATCGATGTTAGACCACCATCAATAACCTGGAAACATTGGAAGGACGATTCGTTCTAGTATGGGACTCCTCAGCAGTGCGCATCCACGATCCCACGTTCGAGACTTGAATCCAGATCTCTCAGTTTCGCTCGCGAACGCTTAACCTCTAGACCACTAATCTGAATGTTCTTTCTTTACTTTAGTAAATTACTTCAAATCAGAAACCTGAAAGCTGCTCAGCAGATTTTCATTTGAGATAGAGGAGAAGATTTGTAACTCATATGGATGATTTTGTTGAAGTTTCGTTCTTTCAGCTGAGTGGTTTGGTCGTGGGGCTTTAAACTTTCAACTCAGAAAATTGAGTAAAAGTACCTAGTAATTATCCTTCGGAAGAACGGTTACCCACGCAACTTTATCAAGAAATACCAACCCAGCATATTGCCAAAAACGAAATCAAATACAGAAACCGGCAACGGATTAGCCTAACATTTATAAAAGACATCAGAAATTACAGCGAGATCATTGAAGCTATATGGAATAGGTGTGTCACAAAAGCCGGCGAAATCACTTTAATCAACTCTATACAAATCAAGGGATGAAATGATCTAATCTACAAAAGTAACTGTTCCATTTGCGAAAAACACTATACCGGACAAATTAGAGCATCAGTTAGAGGTTAAACGCCATGATATATTTTCGCTTATATCAGTGAATGTGGGCAACTGTGGACACACATCCGATTGAAAAAAATGTTGAGATCCTGAAGTGCAGGCATATCAAGAACAACGGGGAATTTTTAGAAGATTGGCGCTAAGATCAATCTGGAATCAACAAGCACTTCGAACTCGATCTAATCTATCAACCAATCAAAAAAATTATGTACATACATAAGACCAAGAATCGGATCAAAAGCAAACACCAGAAAAATAACGATAAGCTAACGATAATAATGATAAGCTAGAGGCCAACAATAGCCAATCAAGATCGAAGTCGACAGGACAAGCTGTGAGTCATATTTGAACATTTCCCTTCTACCTGAATTTTATGTTGATGACGTCGTTCAGAAGAACAATGAAATCTCCACAACCAAACCATCCATCCTAAAGAATGAAACTAACAAAAAAATACTATTTTCACTATCTCTTCAGATAATATTATTCTGTAGTATGAATTACCTTCAAACATATTTACTGCAAATTACAAAACTTCTGATACTATTATTCTTATTCTTGTAGACATGATATTAGAAAACATGGCATTGCTTATTTTACAATGCTGGATGTTGACCGAATGGGAATAGAAGCTGTTATTAAAGAAGCATTGCAAGCAGTAAATCCAAGGTTATTGTTTTAACTGTATTAAATAGCAAAATATATATACTATGGTTCTCTGAAATTTTATGAATAACTTAACATTTAGTTAAACATTCGTCTCCAAAATGAAGTTTATTATTCAAATAATTTGCCTATGGTGTTGATGATGTGTCTTATACTGGACGTGTGAATGTAAGTGTTCATATTTGTTAAAAATTCACGCAACATTTACCCAAATATGACATGAAGATATCGGATTCCAACAACTATCCTAAGTTAAAAGATGGAATATTGTGTTTGGATTAATCGGTTTTCCGGATATCGTCTATATTTGGCGTGTGTTTGCTAAATTGACTGGTTATTGGATGTTCGTTTACATTTACTAATAACGGTCTTACTTATTCTGAGAAAAAATATCACTTAAAGACGTGGAAAATTCCTGAAAACACTTCACCCTGGAATGCTAAATTTCTATGTTTAATCTATGAGGCCTTAGACCTAGTTTGACACGATTTTACTGATAGGAATAGTTGATAATAAAAATTAAAGTATTTAGTTAATTATACTCATAACGATGCCTTATTGTTTCAAACGTTCAACCGTCGGTCATTGGGCGGAAAATCAAGTTCTGAGCAGCAAGATCGTACAACTAATCCTTATAAAACATGTATAACGCAAAGCCAACTATGTATTTAATAAGTGAGTTTCACCAAATTAAATTAGGGAAAGCATGAGATTATATTTTGAAACAACTACCAATCTATTTTTAATATTTCTGATTTATGATGACTCTAATTAAGTCTATTTAATCTAATTCTGAAGACTTATTTCATATAAAGTATGTTAATGTTTGTTTGTATACGAGTAATCACCATCTTTAAATCATTTTCTCCAGTGTCATTATAATATTATACTATCGAGTAACACATCCATTCGGTTATTAAAAGTGCTTTTATTAAATTTATAAGTATTTTTATCATAATTATATAATGTATACAAATGTACAAATGTACGAATATCACAAAACGTTTGAGATATGCCAGTACTATAGAAGATCTTCACGACAATCTGTTATTACTAACAGTTAATCAGAACGTTTTTTTATTAAATAATACGAAAATAGTTTTAACTAAATGAGTTAGCTGCTAATGTAGGTAGTCTGTAGGAAAACTTCAAATTGGAATTTCAACAAAAATAGCGCACCATTTACTTTAAAGAATAATTTGTGTTTTCATTTGTGACGAAATTCAAGGTAAATTCGCTTCATTCCGTTAAAATTTCATGATTGGTCTTCTTTACAATAACCGCGCCAGAATACATTTTTTATGGAAACAACAAGTTAATAACTGTTGTAGATGGTATGTCGAAAATGTTGTTTTAGATCGTTAGTTTAGGAATGAAATATATTCACTAATCTTGAATAGTATAAATAAGTTCTGAAGTAAAATAATATAAGAAAACTTAGAGTTCAAATTGACTTTTTTTCAAAAATAACTTGTAATAAATGATTATAGTCGGTGCCAATTAGAACAATCTTTGTTTAGAAACCGTTTAGAATACTTAATGAAGTAACACTACTTAAGTAAATTTGATTAACAACCCTAAAAGCCTGACATATTATACGAAAGTGAGATAATTCTTTGAAAATAAACAAATCGAGCTAATTTCCACAGCTGGATTCACGAGTCAATCTAAGCTAGGCCACCATTGAAGACCTGTAAGCAGTGGACGAACGATTTGTCCTAGAAAGGGACTATACAGCAGTGCGCATCCACGATTTCGCACACGGCCTCGAACCAAGGACCTTCGGTCTCGCTTGCGAACACTTAACTTCTAAACCACTGAGCAGGCATCCAACGATGTTAATGTCCAACTTCAATTGATCCATGATCTTTCACAATCCTTTATTCATTGTCTGAGATGGATAACTACCTCACACTCAATATGGATTGGACTTCACTGGTCATGGATTCTCACTAGAACGCCAGGAAATTCATCTTGAAGCTATTCACTGCTGACCATATGATTATTATCAGTGCAGGGATTTGCAGAGATTGCACAGAACAAAGGAAAAATTTTCTCTTTTTTTATGTTAGGCTTCCAAATATTAGAACTGCTAAATGTTTTTAGTTATTTGCAAATATTTTCCTGTTTATTACAGTAGGACTCATCACTCACAAAAGAGATACCTTGATAATACATGTATTTAGATCCTGCGTATTTTTTGATATCTTATTCAAGTTTATCCAGCTGACGTGTAGTGATAAGAGGAAATGCTCATCCAGGATTCTATTATTAGAACAACACATATAAGCGAACAATTGTTTTCAATTAGATCGTCATCAGGCTTAACTCTAATATACATGAATATTTATACGAAAATTTTAAACCAATCAAGGCAATATGAGTCAATAATCACAATGAAATAGAATAAGTCACTACACATAATAGGTAAAAGTACAAGTTGATAGTACGAAGACAGGTGAACAGATAGTGGTAAGAATAATAAACTACAATAACAAAACTCTTATCAATAGTTAATCGTTGGAAATAGAAGGTCAAATAAACATGGATAAATAGACTAGGAATAGTAATCACAAAACATCAAAACCATTACGTAATAAGATGTGTGTAAGTAATTAGATGGTGAAGAATACAAAGAGGCGGATAATGACAAACAAATAATGGATGTGGATATAAGGTTAACAATAACACAGATAGAATAAAATAAATAATGATAATGAAACGGCCGTCCAGTGCTTCCAGGTTTTCAATGGTGGTCTAGCTTCAACTGACTCATGATTTCAAAAAAAAAAAAACTGTGAAAATTCTAAAATTCTCCACAAAACCCATTCTGATAATAATGATAATAATAAAATTTAAAATAAAATAAAAAAAAATAAAAAAAAATTGTTAGTTAAGTTATAACTGGCCATGGAAGGGATAGAGGGGTCACGTATTTCTTCTGTACATATAGATTGGGGTTATATGTACGAATTCCAATGGCTTCAGCTATATATAGGAGACGGGAACGGACTCCGTCGGGAAATGATGGAGGTATACGATAGATAACTCGAAATGATTTCGATTTCTCTACTGCATGACCGCTATCAATAAGATGTGTTAGTATAGAACTGCGAATAGTTTTTCTCTGACCCTTTATGTACCAAGTTGGTAGATGTTCACTCATTCGTTGCCTAAGTTGCCTGGTAGTACGCCCTATATAGCTATCTCCACAGGAGCAGCTGAATTTGTAAATGCACATGGAAGAGGCCAACTCAGGTAACTTATCCTTCGTTTGAGTAGACATCGCTGGTCGACAAGAGAAGGTCAACGCAAGATTGGCTGCGTAGAATGTCTTGGTGATTACTTTGGTTAACCTATATTTCAGAGTGTCACTAGCCACATCCCCGTTGAATTGCACTTTCATGTATAAAGGTTTCTTACGAACAGTCGAAATCTCCGACTTCTTTATTATATCCTGCATGTATTTCTTGATGAACGCGCAGGGGTAGCCGATCTCGGTCAGTGAGTTCTTGAGAAATTCAAGCTCCTGACTTAGAGTGTCTACTGTACAGATCTTTTTTGCTCTGCTCGTGAGACATCTGACCAAATTCCTCTTGTACCGGATGGGTGTGAAACTGCAGAAGTGAGTATATTGGCATGAAGAGGGGTTTCTTCTATACACGCTTCTACTTAATGTGCCGTCACTTCGTCTGCTTAGCGTGACGTCAAGGAAGCTCAGCTTCTTATCATGCTCGCTTTCACCAGTGAAGGTGATCGCTGGGTGAACACTGTTGAATTGGTCTAGGAGTTCCTCTTTACTAGTGTTTTGGTCTACGATAATGAATGTGTCGTCAATGTATCGGCAATATAAATCCAGTTTCTTAATAGTCTCATTGAGAGGTCCGTTTTCTAGCTTTGCTAGGAAGAGGTCAGCTAAAATCGGGCCTAGAGGCGAGCCCATGGCTATCCCGTCTATTTGTCTATAGTAAGTATTGTTGAAGACAAAATGTACATTCAGAGTGCATCTATTTCATTGTGATTATTGACTCATATTGCCTTGATTGGTTTAAAATTTTCGTATAAATATTCATGTATATTAGAGTTAAGCCTGATGACGATCTAATTGAAAACAATTGTTCGCTTATATATGTTGTTCTAATTTTCACAATGGGAATCTTTAAGATTCTATTATTAGCCATTATTGAAAATAAGATTTATCGTTTAAATTCTTAAATTGGTGGCTGAAACTAAGAAATCAGACCATCGATTTTGAACATTTAACAAATATTTGCAGAGATTTGCATAATAAGTTTTTACGAGTTTGGAGAGAGTTATTTAGAAAACCGTCCATCAATTCCTAAATAATCTTTATTTTCGGACTGTCTTAATTTTCACAGATTGAAATCATGAGTCAGTTGAAGCTAGACCACCATTGAAAACTTGGAAGCACTGGACGGCCGTTTCGTCCTAGCATGGGACTCCTCAGCAGTGCGTGTCCACGATCCCGCACCGCGCGGGGCTCGAACCCAGGACCTACTGGCTTCGCGCGCGAGCACTTAACCATTAGACCACTGAGCCGGCATCCAACGGTGTTAATGTCTAACTTCAACCAATCCACGAAGTTGCGCCACCATATACCATTATCTTCAGTGAGCTGATATCTCACAACAGACCTGGTTGTACTCCACTGGTAACGGCTTCCCACTAGAACTCCAGGAGTATCTCTTGAAGTCAGTCACTAGTGAGACCGAGAAGTAAAAAGTTTGCTTAGACTCATAGACATTATGCTGTATTCTTATCAAGGTTTTGATAATTATCGCTTCTGAGTTCCCAATTGAATATTTATTTGTAGGACCTTGAGTTTGAAATTCCGGGGATCGAAAATTAATAAAAAAATTACTAAGTATAAACTGTAGTCAAAGAGAAAACCCTTCTCCATCTACTCAAATGGAATCATGGATAACAGATTTTATTGAAAGTAAATTAATCTACTTTTCACTGAGTAGTAGTATGTGAAAGACGATATTTAACAACGTTAATCAATAGTAAGCTCTTGGTCGACAATTATTTTGCACTTATCGATTTTCAGTGTCCGTCCCCATTCCAGTACTATTGAGCACGTAACTTAAATCCAAATATAATTATTACTATTATTTGAATTTCAGGAGCGCCTATATCGTACTGAAAGCACTGTGTACTTTATTATTTTTAGATTGGAGAAAGCTATTCACTTGAGTTTTGATATAGATGCACTGGATCCTTTAGTAGCCCCGAGTACTGGCACTGCTGTTCCAGGTGGTTTAACATTACGTGAAGGTTTAAGAATATGTGAAGAAGTTTCAGCGACAGGTAGTTTCTTACCTTTTACTATTACTTGCTACGAAATTACGATTGCTGTAGTACTCATTAGTAGTATGTCTGAAAATGTTTACGTAGGGTTTATGTAAATTGAAGGAAACTAAAATATATTTAAAATTAATTGAGATTAATAAATACCATGGCGGATCATCGACAGTTTCACTATTTAGTAGTTAGAAAATTATCTAATGTCTTATAAGTATCGTTGATTATTTTGTGAAGCGGAAATAGAAACTGGCTTAATCGTTAAAGAACTAAATTATTAACTCCTTTGTCACAGATTTGGTATTGTTGTGGTGTGTGCTGCTAATGCCGATAGATATAAGTAGTATATATCATTAACCGAAAGTGAAATAAGTGACGGGAGAAGGTTAAGAAGATTGAAGAAAAGAGAGCGAGAATAGAGAATGATTGGTGTGGAAATGAAAGAACAATGAAGTCTGAGACGATTGATTGATATTTTGCAAATGAAATATTTACTGTGTGGTTCTTAGACATTTTGTAATTTTATGTTTAAATGCATTTGGTTGTCCCCGCTTGTGCTCTCGTTCACTACATTGTCTCAAATTCTAAGTATATGTCACTTTAACATATCTTCATAAAAATCTTTGTACTTCATATCTGTGGGCGAGGACCGATAGTCAATTAGTGAGGTTTCTTTTATCAGTCTCAATCAATTTTTAAAAATTCGTCTCCATAGAACATTCAAACAGTAATTAAAAGGATATCAAATTTTTGAATAATTTCTAACCTTGTTATTATGTCTGTGTAAATTTAAGCTAGCAGAAATAGGAATCGAAAAAAGGAACTTCTGTGGTTTCAGATTGTGTATATAAATAAAAGTTTATTGATGAAATCCAGGGAAAAAAGTGATTTAGCTTTTAATTTTGAACCCGTTAACAAAACGATCTATCTACCTGGTAAACTATAAAAATATTCTATCTTAGAGATCTGAGCATAATTAAGCTTACATTGCAGAATAGTGAAGTGACAAATGCTAAAACTAAATGCAAGTTTCTAAGTAGGCAATATATTTGCATTGAATATGACTGTTGAATTGTATGTTAAGGAGGAATTATCACCACCTGACATGATGGGTTATGCTTAGTAGACCATGAATAAGCTGGAAGAAAGCGTGAGATTTCAAAACAAAAACATTGGTTAATAATATAATAATATGTGTTTCATACTATGTAGAGAAACATTAGTCTTCTAGTCAGTTTTATTGATAATCATTATGATTTATGATTTTAAATGGCATGGTTTAAATTCATTACCACTTTCAAAGTTACATTTATTCTGTATCTTTCTGAACATATTCGTTTCATATTCATTCCATACTTTCCATTCTTTGGTTAGATTTATTCATTGAAGGTTCTATATCTTGTGTTTAACTCCTCACTAATGTCAATATTATTACATATACTGCTTTGCTTTACATTTTGTTAATTTATTCATCATAGTGCTGATGTAAGATGTAGTCATATGCACTGATGTAAACTTTCATTTGGTCGTTTATTCATGATGTTTAAGTAGTTGATTTATAGTGAATGTATGTGAAATTAGATAGCATATCTATTGGTTTGTATGAGAATATTTATCATTGAATGATAACTTTCATGAATTACCATCATTTTTAAGTGTGCAAAATATTTTTTTGTCTTAAATCTGCTGAGTCCTATTTGGGTTTGTATCCCATTCATGCTTCTAACTTAATAGAACAATGAAATTTATTTAAAAACTAAGAATTGGTGATTTTCATTTCTGTTACTTTCAAATATCTTGATACAATAGACTACAAGTATTTTTGGAACGTTGCTATAGTGATTGAAATACAATAGAATTTATTTGAACTACAAAGTGAGCACTCATCCTAATACACTTAAAATGGCACGGTAATTTATTGTCAAAGAAAAATACTGATCTAACACTTGAGAAACGTAATGTGTGAAATTCTCTAGATTTTTGTTGAAGACACTTATAATTTTCATACTAAATGACTTAAGTATGCATCTCTATATACATATATATAATATGCAATATCTAGTGTATTTTGTATTTCACTTTTTTGCAGGAAAACTTTCTATAGTTGAATTGGCTGAATTAAATCCTTTATTAGGATCTAATGAAGATGTTGTAAAAACTCAATCATCCGCTGTTCAGATTTTGAGAGCATGTTTAGGCCATTGTCGTTCAGGTCATTTACCATTCAATGTTCGTAATTTAAATGATCAAGGTATTGTTAGTCGGATGGCACGTATGCAGACAAAACAATAATTATTCCTAATTCTCTAACAGTTACTGGTTATCTTTTATTATTATAATGATATAACTCATTTATCAATATTATTATTAATATCAATATATAGCATTACAATGATTTGTGTATTTTTTAAAAATATTATATTATTTATTTGTTGTGTTATTACTTCTAAACTGACTTACATTATTTGAAGAAAATTGATACAACCTAACTATTTTTTGTTTATTAGTAAAGGGTTGTGGAAATTGTTGAGTTCCATTGAAACAATGAACCAGTTCATGTTATACTACCATTGAAAACCTGGGAATACTGAACGGTCGTATCATTATGGTATATGGCTTCTCAGCAGTGTGCGTCCATTATTATTTATTATTATTATTATAAGCTTTATTCAATATTATATTTTCGGTACAATATAGAATTCTCAGCACAAAGTATTTCAACAAGTTTCCGTTTCTTTCTTCTGGGTCGATCCTGACGATAAATATTGAGTGATAGCCAGTTAGATGTTAGCAGTCCAGTAAATAAACATCTGAATAATGTATATTCTTTTCTCTGCATATTGCCAGCGACCACATTATCTCTTATTGAGCTTTTAGTAACTTTGACAACGAAAGGTTGTAAACTTTTCAGAAATGCACAAGGATGGGTTATGCGATTAATATACATAATGATATATTAAAACAAACAAAAATAGATAACTTGTTGAAATATTTAGATGACAGGAACAGGTAGCCCAGATGCTCAAGCAGGCTGCCCTGGCATCATAAGTGGTGTCACCGGAGACAGTGTCTAAGAAGTTGATAAACAGAGTTCAAAAACTCTTTGCTGAATCAAGTGACAAAGAAACTGAGATGAATTTAGTTATATCCACTTTGGTGATGGATAATTATCCCAAGTACTTTATACAAAGAATAATTAAGAAAGAAGGCCAAAACTGTAAGTTAAAAGATATACCAAAATAACGGGTCAAAACTGTTGTGATCGCATATTGTGAAGAAACTTCAAAAGCGATCAAAAGGGTCCTAAATCATTACGATATAAAAGTAATCTTTCAAACAAATAATGCTTTAAACTGTTAAGAGTCAGAAACTAAATACGAAAGGAGGAACAAGAAAATTGTTTATGTAAGATCAAATGAAGCGACTATAGTGCTATATATGAAGGTGAGATTTCATGGCAGATGGATTTGAGGGTGGAGGAACACAGACTTTGCTTAAAGTATGTTCTTAAATCCTTAAGAGACCTAAGAAAAAGCTGGGAAACAAGTCTGATATTCCATTGGACTCAACAGAGTCTGGCCATGCAATTGATTTCATTGACACAAGAATCGTCGAAAAACGTTTTAGCTCATACAAGGAGAGAATAACATCTGAAGCCCTAGACATATGGGAAAATCCGAACAGTGTTAATAGGTTCGCTGGAATACAGTTAGCTGTCCTTGAAATCCTTACTACATTTTATTCCATTTAATTCATCCCTTACTATGTGAACATCAACGATTGTGGTGGACCAAACAATATATGAACTCAAAAATGATAAAAGAGTTATTAAGTACAAATAGTAATGTTAATATGTATCAGTTAAATGTTATAAACACAACAAAAATTAGAGACGTTACTTAATTCAGCAGGTTTGTACGTGTTCTGATTGAGTCTGGTACCAAAATCCACAATTATAGATGATTGAAGATTCCAGTAAGATTGATGTCCTCCAAGTGGTATAACCAAACCTAGAATATGATATATTTCAATTATAGTCTATAAATGTAGACGGTATTTGATTTAGAGCTCAGTTAACACAATCACGAGCGAACGCGGAACAAGAGGTATGTGTGTAACAGTGTATTTGTTAATACGTGACAGCGTGTGTCATGCTATGAATGTAACACGACGGAAGAAAGTGTGTTCAAGGTCATACACTTAACAAATACAATCATTTAATGATAAATGTACATGCAGTGAAAAATTGACAGAATAAATACAAATAACATCAAAAACCATTTACAAAATAAGCTTGTCATGCATATCTCCACACGATTACTTTCACGTGCTTTAGTCAGCTTGTTCATCTGAATATATGGTAAACTATCAGCTTGGTTAACGTAACAATACAGACGTTTATTTGTTTACTTATCTTCATTCTGTTAATGCTGTTACATGCTTGACTCATATCATCTATATAATTGTCTGTTTTCATCAAAACATTGCTGATCAGAGGTGATATATAGTCAATGAAATTTTCCCCCACTTTGAATCCACTTACCCTTACATAGAACTGTTATCTTAACACACTTTTTTTACACTTTTCATATCAAATGTCTCCTACACCCTATATCAAATTCTACTTTTAACATTAATAATATGACTGAATAACTTGTTTATTACACAATTAACTATAGAACCATATATTTGTATTTGATAATTTTGATGTTTGACTATATTTCTTTGAAAAAGTAAGGATCCGTTTGCCCAACAAAACACTGGATTTACTCAAAATTTAATTTCTAAGAATTTTCCAATTATAATTTCATCAATAATATCAAAGTTTCATAATTGGAAACTTGACAAACACTACTTTATTATTATTAATGTTAGTTTTATTCAGTATTATGTTGTTGGTACAACATAGAATTCTCATCACAAAGTATTTCAGCGGGTTTACGCTTATTATTTCTTGATCTATATTGCCGATAAATATTGAGTGGTCGCCAGTTAGATATTAGCAGTTCAGGAATCGACATCTGAATAATGTACACGCTTTTTGATGCATACTGCCAGCAACCACGATGTCCCTGATTTGGACTTTGGTAACTTGTACAGCGAAAGGTTGTTCACCTTTCAGAAACGCACCTGAATAGGTTCTGTATTTAATTGACATAATAATCTGTTAAAACAAACAAGGAAACAAATAACTTATTCAAATATATAAATGGCAGGAACAGGTAGCCCAGATATTCAAGCAGGTCTCCAGTGATGTTTTTCCTTAAACATATCATTTCTTATTTCATGCATACAGAATTCACTTAACATTAACTTAATTTTACTATGCTTGAAATATTACTGTTACTGAATACTCAACAATTACTCATGCATTGGTTAGATAGGTTAATGAAATGATTAAATCTATGATGAAGTTCCCGTTTAAAATGTTGATCCTCTATTTATTTCATTTAATCTAAAACAATTAAACAGTTTAATTTTCTAGAATTTTCATCTTGGAAAATGTCAGTAACTGATACAAGTCAAAAATTTATCTTACACATTTCGACGTAATTTGACCAGGTTATTCCAATGTAGCAAAGTATTTATTATATATATAAATGATTGTTGTATGAGTGGTAGTCGACGATAAAAAAGGGCAAAATAGTAATTTTATTTATCAACTTATTTTATGCTGATATGTAGTTTATATGTATATAGTTTGATAGTGATTAGTTTAAGCAACACTGAAAACTTACTTACTTACTTACGCCTGTTACTCCGAATGGAGCATAGGCCGCCGACCAGCGTACTCCAACCCACTCTGTCCTCCGCCTTCTTTTCTAGTTCCATCCAATTCTTGTTCATTTTTCTTGTGTCTATCTCCATTTCCCGGCGTAATGTGTTCTTTGGTCTTCCTCTTTTCCTTTGGCCTTGAGGATTCCATGTGAGAGCTTGTCTTGTGACGCAGTTGGGTGCTTTCCTCTATGTGTGTCCTATCCACTTCCAGCGCTTCTTCCTGATTTCTTCCTCCACTGGGATCTGGTTTGTTTTCTCCCACACTTGGCTGTTGCTAATAGTGTCCGGCCAACGGATCCAAATTATTTTGCATAGACAACTGTTAATAAACACCTGTATCTTCTAAATGATAGCATTCGTAGTTCTGCAAGTTTCCGCCCCATACAGTAGAACTGTGTTGACATTTGTATTAAAAATCCTGACCTTGGTGTTGGTTGATAGTTGTTTTGAGTTCTAGATGTTATTCATTTGTAGATATGCTGCTCTTGCTTTGCCGATCCGCGCCTTCACATCTGCGTCAGATCCACCGTGTTCGTCAATACTGCTGCTCAGATATGTAAAAGTTTTTACATCTTCCGAAGCTTCCCCGTCGAGTTTGACTCGATTGTTGTATGCTGTATTGTATCGGAGAATCTTGCTTTTCCCTTTGTGTATGTTGAGACCTACTGCTGCTGAATCTGCTACCTCACTGGTTGTCTTCTGCATTTTTTGTTGTTGCGTGTGCGGCAGGAGAGCCAGATCATCTGTGAAGTCTAGATCGTCCAATTGCATCCTAGCTGTCTACTGTATCCCATGCTTCCCTTCAGATAATGACGTCTTCATGATCCAGTCGATCCCCAGGAGAAGGAGAAAGGGTGAGAGTAAGAACACTGAAAACTAGGGTGAACCAAAAAGCTATTTCTTCCTCTCAAATTATTTTAGCCTAATATAAAATGCTTATTTCTTTGCTAATTGATTTTAGTATTCTCCAGGTAGTGTTAAATAATAGTGAAAGTTCTCTACAAATCATAAGATTTATCCAACCGTATCCTTAGTGAGTGAATTTTAATTCTGAATTGATCTAAGGATATGATAAGATGAGCAAAATAATTTCGTAATAACTATTTCAAACACAAGACAAAGCATACTAGAAATTTTGCTTGTTTAAATCAAAAATTCGTCAAACAACGCATTAAACGGAACTAAGACTTCCGGGAAAAGTCTTTTTAGTGTAATCAGTTAACACTGCTAGTAACAGTTATGTTTGTCGATGAAAAATAAAACGGTGAAATTCTTAACTACTTTAATATTTGAAGATAATAATATGAATATAAGTAAGAAGTTTTGTCAGTAAATAAATTTGTATTTAGTGTCGGTAACAATCTTATTATGTTTACGAAATTAACTAATAATTCTAATCTCATTTCTATCTAGTTACCAAGATGACAAAAAAATATGTTCAAGTTGAACGTAACAATGAATCATTTGGATCTGTTATATATTTAATATATAATGTATAATCACTATTACTCTGTTTCAATCATATAAAAGAATTTATAGTAAAATCTGTACAAAACATCAGGAATTTAATGTTAAAGATAATGGTACATACAGTTTATAATACTTCAGGCTCAGTTTTTCACTTAGTCCTTAATGATGAAGTGTTTGACTCCCGAAATCAGGTTTACATTGATTTAATATGAGTAAATTTCACCAGAATCTCATATTTGTCCAATTATTTCATATATGTTATCCATTTTGTTGGGAAAAAGAATAAGATAGGGTATTTCATTGATGAACTACTCAAAACATAATAATAGTTGATTGAAACGGATTTTGTGTCGTCTTCTTTAGTGTATTATGTTGTAATAACACTTACCAATAAACAGATATCAATATAAAATCAAAGTTGTTAAATTGACAATGTAGTTTTCATGAGCTTAAACGTATGTTTAACATAGAATATTTATAGGATTTGCGCAGTTATCGATTTCAGGAATGAACCTGTTTTAAAATGATCAAAACAACACTGTATATTTCACAGGTCACACAAATCTTTAGTCAAACATATCTTGAATAGTTGTAGAACTTTTTCAAGCCTTTTTACTTTATATCCTATACTACTTGTTATATTATTTAGTAAGCATCGGCATTTTGAATAAAATGTTTAAGTAAAATAACTTGATTAGTCTAGGAATGAGATTGTTTACCAGTAACCATCGACGTTTGTTATTTCTTATCTTATGATATACATTTAAATACGAGATGTTCTTTTAATGGTTACTGCCCCCAAATGCTCTGGTACGACCGAGAGTGAGGAGAGTCAGCTCTCCCTCTCGAAATGCTCTCACATGGTCACGTGCATACCACCACTGTCAGGGAAGTCCTACTCACTACCCTCTCTCAGGCAGCGGTGTTGTTTAAGAAACTGAGAGGACGAAAGGCGAATTCCTGGCACTTTAACCGTATTGATGGATACGGAGGATCCACCTAGGGAAGTCGAAAAACCATGATTACAAACCGATGGTGCACATGGGCTCCAGTATTTCGTACCTCCTTGTACCAATGTTTATTTGTTAAAATTGATAAATAAATGGTTATTACTGAAGTTTAATGGCTGTGGAATAGAAATATGACCTGAGATCCAGTACGTTGTAGTTGATCAGAGCTGTATGACAATCCGCTAATGTTGATTTGTATCGCACAAGAAATAAATTATTTCAGAAGATTCCAGCTCTGTAATTTTTCATATTTTATCAGAGATGCAAGTAAATAGAAGTTGGAATGTCGAACACTCATGAAGTTATCCAGAACTGTGATTTCAGCTAATTATTCCTAAGATTGATATTCCCTTTCTATTCGTTTTGTTCAGTATATATGTGAATGTTCAATACTTGATGTTAATATTATTACGTATTCTCATTTTAGTTTGCCATTCATTTTCTTCATATCCGTCGAATGGACCATTTTGTTTTACATTTTCATAAATTACTACTTATTAATATCTTTATGACTTCTGCATAACCAATCACCAACACTCGAAAACATTGGATAGTTATTGATAATTTTTGGGTGACACAACACTTCTGTTTTTATCACAGACTAATATATGAACTTAATTATAAACACGATTGCACAGCTTAAAGTCACTTCATTGAACTGTCTTTAGTTTGTTTAACTTTCTGAATATTTTAATTTGTATTGTGCTGAACAAAAACTCAGTTAAGGAAGACCAATTTAGTGTCAAATGCAAAATATGATCCTGGTTCAAATGTAATTGACTATAATAAATCGACTTTACGAGAAAGTAAGTTCATTAAGTGTTAAATTTAACAGTAAACATTTATATGATTCGATTTTGCATTCAGCTAACTTTACAATTGATTATATATCTTTACAATATTACATTTCTACTACCGTACCTTTCTATTTTTATAAGCCACCAACCAATTAATATTGAGTTGTGATGACCAACCAATCAAACGATAAGAGTAACGGTGAAATAATAATGTACAGTTGAGCAAATGTTTGATTTGATTATGACCCTGAACTATTTATTTAATAAACAATTACATCAGAACGTCTATATATATATGCTTTCAAAATCAACAACACAATCTTCGCCACTGTCACCATCGTCATCATTATAATTAACCTTATTGATTATTATGAAGTTTTGCTTACTTGGTTACAGAAATGTAAAACGAACAATTTTTAAAAAGCCCATTTTTGTCTTCGTATATTCACTTTTATTATTTTCATTAATTTTTCTAATTGCAAATCATTCAGAAAAAACATTCTTATCAGTTAAGCTAATTGACATAAACACTCATAACGTGTATAAAAAATATGAACGATCATTCAGTGGATATGAGAATTTAATTTTCAACATTGATTATGCTAACTTTAGTATTGAAAAACAAAAAAATGTAAATGTAAATTCAAAACGACATTTAGGTTCAATTGATACAAAGCTATTTGATATACAAGGTTTTATACTGAAAAAGAAATTCAATATGAATAATTTAATCTTATTTCCATTTGAAACAGATAATCCATATGAGGATGATAGAATATTAGCACAAATGAGTTATGTTCCTGTACAAGTGTTAGAAGTAAGTATGATATACATCAACTATTGTAATATGGTTATTTATGTCTTAAGTTAAATAAAATGAATTTTGCTTATATTTATCTATTATACAGTGTTTATTATTATGAAATGATGTAATCTTTCATTCAGCTATGAAAAATTCACAAGTTATTCACAATCAATCTTGTATGGTTGTTGGGTTAAACGTTTTTCTAATCTTTTGATTTTCAAAATGATTCTAAGTCAAAAAAAAAATTAGTGAACGTTAATATCAGTTTTAATGACCTGGAATCACATTTTACGGAGTGTTAATAAACATTAGTGGAGAAGTGTTTCTCTTAGATATATAAAGTAATACTTAGATTGGTTTCTCATGAAAAAACATTGGATTAAAATGTTCCGACCAGTTTATTGAGTGAATTACTGAAGCTAACAAATTTCAATTTTTCAGATATTTAAAAATGTTATTTTACATAGTAATCCCTTCATAACCTTTAATGCTATTACAAATGTAGTAATACCATCAATAAACTGTCATAAACTGCTTACTTCTATGTAAACTCATTTCCATCTTATCATGCTTATTCCGATGCACAATACCACAACAATAATTTTTAGCTGAACAATGTATATCTAATTCCCAAGTACTATCACATAGATTTTCTTTCATTTCGCTAATTTTGAGAGTTTTTTTTTTGTTAGACACTTTATAGTAGTTCATCAAGTTATACTTGTTTTCATAAAGATAAATACTGGTATTTAGTGTTTATTTGCTTAAACTCGTTATTCTGTTATCAAATAACTCTTTGTCAAACCTTTAATATCTCTTATTTCTAATTTGTTTAATTCTTTTTATGTTAGTCATTATTTTACTGTTATATCATGTTTTAAAATGAAAACTGAATAATCATAGAGTTTGTTGAAAAAATGAAACACATTCAAGTTTCAGTAAACCATACTCATACTTGTATACAGTTGTATTCAAATCGTTTGAAGAAATACTTTTCAAACAGTTGATTTTTCCTCATTAATTTCTTTCAAAGTCAAATTTTTCTTAATAAACACTATGAGACATGTAAGTAGTTGATTGTTTTCAGTGCTGTTTTAGAATATACTACAACATTATTGTTGTGTATATGTATTACGGTAGTTTTCAGATCAAATATAATTCATAAAATGTATAAGGACAAAATATTTAAATGTCGTACTAGATTTTAGGCTCCTCACCTTCTGAACAGTTTTGAATGAATTTATAAGACTTGGCTGATTTATAGTTAACCTATTTTTGATAAGTCACGACACTAAGAACAGATGGATTGCACGTTGTTAACAATACATTTCATTTTTCAGCTAATCTACAAATATTTCAAAACAAAATGCTTAAGATACGTTTGTAAATTAGAATTTGGTTAACCAGATTATTAGGTAATCTATAATAGTAATGTTCTTCCGTTGTGTAACGCATAGTTGACTAGTGTTTATCACAGCCCACCTTGAACTGAGAATTGTTAACATTAAAGTACATAATTTAAAAAAATTGCCATTAAGGATAATCTAACAAGTTTCTGATGCAAATGTTTATACTCAAAATATTTTGTAGCTAATAATAATTGTCATTTTATTTGCTGCTTTTATAAACCTACCCTATTATCAACACATATTGATTTAGTTTATTTTCATGCAATCAAAAGACAATAGACTAGTAACAATTATTAAGGTTTAATTGAGTAACAGGGTCTATGTCAAACTATAGATAACGTCATATTTGCTTGAAACAATAATCAATAAGTTATTCAAAAACATTTCATCATGATACTAAGTGTAAAACCATACTGTTAATTACATTTTTCCAGTAGATGCAATTTTTTAACGTTGTCATAGTTTGTTGGTTTGTCAGCATACAATCATTAATTCATTTACATCAATGAATAACCATTAAACGATAAATGGATTTAATCTCATGTGTAATATGCAAGTCAAACATCTACTTGACTGTTCAAAAGCCAGAATGAATAGCATTTTTAATAATTAAAGGATACTGAGTAAGTCAATAGTCGAAGGCTGGTAACCTCATGTATTAGTAATTCATTTTCATACATATTCCTTTTTCTAAACGAATGAGATAAATCTAGGTAATTTCTCATTTAAATTATGGATCGACTGTTCAGCTCTTGAATCAGTTAATTTTCAAGCATTAGGAACATGTTCAAACCTTACTAAATATTCTTTTGTTTGAATAACCACATAGAGTCAATAATTTATACAGAAACGATATAACTTGAAATACCAGTACCTAAATCTTTACTTGGTAAGTAACATTAGTTTTAACAATATACATTATCGTTATTGATTGATTTTAGTAAATTATTATCTTGTTTTGTGTCGCATGTATAGATTTTCTATACTATTGCTATTTTAGACCAACCTTGTTCTATATTAATTCACGTTATTGACCTAAGGACAACAAACATATTAGCAAACTAATATTTACTGCGTTTTTTTATAATATAAACATTCCTTTTTTGATACGACATTAGTGAGACAAATTTTGTTTTAGAATTTATCATAATTCACTTTAGTAAATAGTAAAATATCGAAATATAAGTTAAGTATTTAATTTTCTGAGTTGTAATAATTCATATCTATTATACATTTGTATTAGGCATTATCAAACTACTTCGAACTTGCTATAAGTATTTTAATGGTATTTTTAATGGTATAATAATGAGTTGCGTAATACAAAAGAACGTACATATTATAAATATCATCAGTATAGGGGTTGTGGAGATTATTAAGTTTATTGATTGAGATCATGAACCGACTGATGTTAGACCACCGTTGGAAACCTGGAAGCTCTGGATGGCCGTTTCGTCCTATTGTTGGACTCCTCAGTAGGGCGCATACACAATCCACCTCGCGGGATTCGAACCTAGAGCCTTCAGTCTCTGGTTGATGTTAGACACCAACACCATTGGATGCTGGCTTAGTGCTCCAGTAGGTTTAGCGTTCGCGCGCGAGACTGAAGGCCTTGAGTTTGAATCCTGCGAGCGGGGACGTGGATGCGCATTGCTGAGGAGTCCTACAGTGTGACGAAACGGTCGTTCAGTGCTTCCAGGTTTCCAACAGTGGTCTAACATCAGTCGGTTCATGATCCCAATTACAAATATCAGTTAGCTAGGCTTATCTGTTATTAGTTCAGAAAATAATAAGTGAAATACAAAAAAAATAAAACTGTTTCATTTTGAGAAGAATCATGGTTCCACAAGATTGAAATTGTCTTTCATTAATTATAATGGCATATCAAATTTTCACGTGTTACAACATAAAATCATATATATATATATATATATATATATATATATATATATATATATTTCAAAAATAATATGAAAATACATTAATCTTTGTGATTTAGATACCATTTATGCTGTGTGATATACTTCAATCGAAAATTTATTTGTTTACTCATAAGTCGTTTGAAAAAAACTAGTAAACTCTTAAGAATGTAGAATAATCAACAATTCTAAGTGAAGATGGATAGTAGCTGGCAGTGGAATCCAGAACGCACGTTTCGTCTCGTCAGATGGATGTACCTGCATCCCTGTGTTGATGTTTACTTCGGGACTAGGAACAAGTACCGCTCTCTTCAAACACCATCGCGTCTTAAAAAGTCCCAAAATTGGAAGAAACGCGCGTCCTGAATTCCACTGCTAGCTACTATCCATCTTTACTTATAAAGATTGTGACTTAAGGCATTATCGAGGCAATTCGAATAGGGTGTACATATGCCAACAAGAGACTGATCGATTGCAGTCCTAAACAACAATTGGAAGATATGTGCAAACAACACTAAGTGAATTCTAAGTGATTATCAATGAAAACTATGCTGAGCTAACAATTACGTAAAGACGGGTTAATTTACTTACAAATTAAGTTATAGTCCTGGGTTTAAGCCTTGGACACTATCAGGAAATCCCATACTAAGACAAAATGCCTGTTTTTAATGCTCCTTGAAATTTTATAATTTCTTAATCGAGCTCAATCTGTGAAAAATATATCGTTCATCAATAATAAATACATTGAGATTATTTTGGTATATTTTGATCTCTCCTTCACTTTCGACCTGGCATTGAATACATATAAGTATTTGTAAATAGATAAACATGAGAAATATTTGAGCTTTATCAAACATGAAAATCTATTTCCAGGTTAAATAAGGTTAGTGATTTAAGCTGATGGGATTGATTCAATTAAATATTTCTATCGTTTCATTTACACAAAAAGAAATTTAAAAAAATTTGGTTAATATGAATTAAAAGAACGAGAATCTCAAAGTGATATACATATATTTCATGGATTATTTTTTTTAAAAAAAAGCATATAGGAATAGACAGATAGTTCCCATTTAAACATTAGAATTAAAACACGAATTTCAGCAAAAACAAACAGTACCATGTTTTTAGTTAACTGAGCATAGCAACGACAACTTTTCAGTTATTTGATTTATCAGACCTTTGTATATGTAATACTCATTTTAACAATATGGCAAGCCCACATATCAATACATGTGAGTCAAATAAGTTTTATTCATTTTCAACAAATACACTTTAACTTTGATTTTTTCTAGTTTATTATCAATAAAGTGTTCTTTATAGATTATGTTTTAAAAAAAGTTTTCAACGAGTATTACGTAATTTCTTACTGACTTTATTGCTACATGCTTCTTAATAATTATTAATTACAATTAAGCTACCATTTAGATAAAGATTTTACAACAAAATAATACTTACCATAGAACTATTACAAAATAAGAAACACTGAATATTTAGTCGGTTTTACTTTCAGTATCTCTACCAATGCATTAGTAAGATTAAGATTGAATCCTTGACTTTCAGTCATTGGAAGGAATACAATACTTTGAAACTCATTGATTCATCTTTCGAACTTAATTTTTATGTTATACAGTTGGATTACTGTGGTACCGTTTTACTTGTCATTACGAAATTAGAATTTTAGTAAATT